AGCTGCCTATTTATTCCACCTGAAGAAATTGTGTAGAACAGTTTAGCATTTCCAGTGTTGCTAATAACTGTAGCTGGAAAAGTTCTAAAAAAGAAGCATACATCCCAAAATGGGAAAATCATCTCCTCCAAAAACCTTGCTCAGGAACATCAGTGTGACTGATAATCAAAAGCCAAAATGTGCCCTCATGTGTGTGCTTGACTCTATAAGGACTTGAGAGGCTTTTTCCTCATACCGTTTTCATCATCTCTGCTTCACTGCTTTGAGGCTCAAATAATTTATCATCTGAATTTGAAAACAACAAAAAATACCTGCTGTTTTGCCTTTGTCTCATTTGATAAGCATGTAGCAGCTCCTAATAGGAGCTTAGGATGATAAAACATCAAATGAGAAAGAAGGCAGGCTGAGATGGTTATATTGTCATTAACTTAGGGAACCCTTGGCTGCTACAATGTGTTTGTGCTGTGCTGTAGGTCTCAAATGAACAATCTGAGAGTAAATGAATAAAAATTGTATGATAGGTGTGTGGGGTGTTCATGACTCCAGATGTTACAAACTTAGAAGCTTTCACTACTTCTGCTAAAATTATTTGTGAAATAGAAACTTGCTGGTTATTTTGCAAGTCTTCTGCCTTCCTTTTGCTGTTAAAGTACAATTTGTGATGGAGATAATGAAACTGAAACTATGGCTGTATCTTCACACCTTAGCATGTAGCACTCAGCACTGTGTTCTGGTTGTGCTGTCAGTCAGAAGCCACATGAATCCAGCTGATAGGGCACCAGTGGGATTTCTGCTGTTTGTAGTAAAACTTCTCCAGGGTTGGATGAGCCAGGGGAAGCAATATTATGATGCTGACAGCTGGGTGTAGGTCTTTGCTTTGTTTAATAGTCACTGCAGAGGACACTTTGGAGTGTGTTGGAAGGCACTGTCACTGCACTGCACTGAAAAATATTGGCAGACCCTAGCAAGGCATCTGACCCTGATCAAATATTCCTCTTAAATTAAAAGCCCATGTAGCTGTTCTGCTCAGCTTGTTCTTAGGAAGCTAATAATGGAGTTGGGTCCTCTTGCTCTATTTTGAGGACATCTTATTGAATCATGCATTGAATGATGTGACTAATTTGTGGAACAGAAATGCCTGTGCATCAGCTGTTCACAGTCATTTTCCTGGGGGAAGATAGAACTTTTTATGTTAAAAGACACCGATCATTCTTTTCAGCATATCAAAGAACAAATGTCCTGTAGGCTTTTCTCTTGAAAACAAAAAGAGAACAAATGGCTTTTATCTGCATTTTCATCATTACACCTGCATAAATCTCACTGATGCTAATGTGACTTGTAGCAATGTAGATAAAAGCCAGTCACACTGTTGAGATGTGGAGTCCAGCAGAGCAAGGCACACCACAGAAGCAGGAAGGGTTCATCCCTGTAGGAACAACCTCCAAGTGTGTGACTCAGCCTGCTTGGAATAAACCATTGGTGTGCAAAGCCAGGGCTCTCCAGATTGATGTAAACAAGCAATCTGATTCATGCAGTGGCTGTGCAAATTTACTGAATGCTCAGCTTTACTGCTGCCCAGATGGATTTCTCCAGGAAAAAAAAAGTTTGGTCTCTGCATCCACTCAGGGCAAACAAAAATCACCTGGACTCTGTGACTGGGAAGGAAGAGATGGGACTATGAGGGTTGAGCTGCAGTTCTCATGAATTCTGGGCATAATGGGAGTAAGCTGAAACCTGCAGGCTCACCTTGAAGAATTGGAAGGGAGTGAGGGGACAGTGTCAAAGGGGTAAACCTGTGGGATGCTGTAGAGATTTAAAAAAAAAAAGGAAAACCAGCAAGCAGCAGGTTCTTAAAAGTATATAGAAATACATAATGGAGGACAACATGAACTGGGAGCAATAAAGTTAGTCCTCACAGCTGATCACAAATAGTAATGTCACTGTGAGCAGAAGAGGAAGGAAGTTCTGTGGCTGGGCCCTAGGACAGAGGCATAACTGGAGCAGTCTGATAGAGAAACACAGAATTACTTATTTCAGTGTTGACAAGGCAAATAAATCATGCAATTAGCTTAATTTCTTGATAGTTTCTGAGATAATATCTACAGTAAAGTCTGAGTTCTGCCCAAGTTCTGTCCATGGACACTTGAGATCTGTAGAACAAAAGCAGCAGACACCCTGCCACCAGCAATTACTTTGACCTAGATGAAAATAGCAGGGATTTTATTTTTTATCTTTTATTTTGCTATTTAAAATAGTATGTATTGATCCCTTTATTAGTGTAACATACAGATTGAATGTTCAAAGCAAAGAATAAGACTAAGAACTTATTATGGAAGGCTTGTTCAAAAGAGAAATTGGGCAAGGAAAGGTTTTGATCAACCCCCCTTGCCTAGGGTTCCACCAGCAAATGCAGTTCTTGCACCTCTCTTGCTATCCAAGCTTAAGAAATGTAGCATTGCCCTTTAACACACAAGTCAGAAAGGCGGGCTTTCTGTAAGGTCATGTGGCTGCTGCTGTTTTCAGAGTATCCTTTTCATCTTACCTGGAGCTTTGGGACAGTAAAGATAATGTCTGCCAGCATTTTCTTTCTTAAAGAGAAGAGCATACTTTGACATGTGCTTCTGAAAGGGCACTGCATTGTCATCTGATATACTTGGATATTCTCAAGTCCACATTAAAAAATGGCAAGTTATCTTTTCATCACAGGATATTCATAGTAAATAGAAAAAAAAAAAAACCATCTTGCCAGTCCTTGCTGCCCAAAGGAAGTCTATAAACAGGACTCCTGAGTGTATGCAAGTAAGCTTCAGAGAAATTGAACAAGTGTGGTTGCAGTGTGAGTAATTCTACTTACAGAGAATCTGTCAAGAATACGAAAGGAAAGCCTGGCAGTGGAAGTATCCCTGTTGCTCTGGTAGGACAATGACCACACAATTCATTGTGATTCAATAGAACTTCCTTGTAAGTAGATTAGCTCCTCCCTGTGTTGACTGATAAAGATAGCAGGTGATTTACTTACAGGAATGTAAGTGCAAGCCTTTAAATAAAAAGAACTGCTTTGGCTTTGAGTCACCAGCACTGGTGAATTTTTGAAGTCAATTTACCATCATTTAATACTATTTTAGAATAGCTGTTAGTGTGTGGCCTTTTCATTTCTGCCAATAAACTTCATAATAGATACTGAAGCAGGACTGAAAAGCCTGTGAACACCGTGGAGACATTATTTGTTCAGTGTTGCATTATGACGTACTCATGATCTTTTTTTCTTTGCTTCCTTAACTTTTTTTTTTAAACCTCCTTATTTCATTTCTGTTCAGTGTGTGTGTTGATTTTAGTGATAGTGTAGTTCATTGTGGAAGTGATTTAATGTTCACTTGTGAGTACTACTCCGAGGCACCTAGTAGCATTAATATGTTAGTAGCCACCCAGTCATCATGCTTCCCATGTCAGCTGTAGAACACAAAAGTTATACTGGAAGTACTTAGGTAAATCTATTTCATCAAAATGGCTCTGTGCTTTCACTTTGTCAGAATACCTGCGTGTTGGCTTTCTTTGCTGCCTAAATGCTGTTCTATCTGTTCCTAACTTGCCCTGTTTAACAGCAGACAATCCCAGGGAGCACTGAATGAATCGGATGATCCCGAAACAGGCTGTCTAACTGATAACAAGCCAACTTCTCGACACTTCTATCCTGTCGCCTTGCTGCTTGTCAGCTCCCACTTGCTGGTTGTGTGGCTTATTTTAAGTCTTGCTTTGCTATTAGCCAAATATCAATAAACTTTACTTGTGTTCCTTTCTTTTCTACAAACAGCAACAAACTAACTCTAGAAAAAAAGAATCATGTTGTAATATTTCTACAGTCTCAGACCCCAAGGATTCATCTTTAAGATTCCAATGTCTGAAATGTACTGTGTTTTCATTCTTTTTTTCTGAACTCCGAGAAGTATACTATGCATTGAGTGAATTGATTTGCTCTTTCTGTTCATGGTAAAGCTTTCCCACTGTAATTAGCGCAAAGAAAGCCCACTTACAATGCTGTCACTGTATAGAAGTTGTGGAATCCTGAATGCTTGAACCCCTCTTTCCAGAGTAATTAGTCTGACAAAAAAAAATAATAAAAATTTGCACAACACAAACTAACCCCTAGACAAATATGGCAGGGCAATGGTTTTGTGAGACTTATCTTTCGTTGTGTTTCTTCATTGTAACTAGCTGATGGCATTGTTTTCGTTTAATAAATTATTATTACTTTGCTACAACTAACCCTTTTCTGTAGAGTAAATAGAATATTCTAAGTTCTGTTTTGTAATGAAATTAGCCTGTTTGTAATTGTTGCTTTAGTTGCTTTTGCTTTCAATACACTTTTATATTCTTTTTAACAAAGTCCTGTTTATGTCTTGATGCACCACTTTGGCACTTGTGACTTTTGTACTGTATGTGAACGAACATCCTTCCTTTATAAAGCAGAGAGGTGGATTGGGCTGTTTGAAAAGCCATTCTCTCTTTTTTTCATTGCAAAGCTGAACATACAGAAAATGAAGCAGAGATGAAACTTCCCTTCATGAATCTCTAGGGCCAGACTTAATAAAATTCCTTATTCCTAGAATGCGCATTTTAGGGCAATGTATACTCACACGTATATAGCAAATCAATTGAAAAAAAAAAGATATTAAAAGGTTTAAAAGGCAAATATATTTCTGGAATTAGAACAAAATGTATCATTAAAGTATTTAATTTTTTTACTGAACTTTAAACCGCAAGGGCAGATATATTAGGGGGGATGGAAAATCTCATCACCTATTTCTGAGGGCAATAACTGTACTGGGCCTGGCCTTGGATTTAATTCTGTAAGATGTATCATCACTCATGGAAAACAAAAATGTAGAGTTGAATCCTTGTTATTTTTACTTCAACTGTTGCTGAAACTCTGCAATGAACAAATAAAGCATATTTATTTATTCTATGTTTCATGAAGTTGTACTTTTTCCCCCTTTCACTAGAGAAGGATGCCGCATAGAGAATGTTCTGAAGAATGTCAAATGCAGAAAGTATGCATTCAACATGATACAGCTGATGGCTTTCCCAAAGTACTACAGACCTCCAGAGGGGACATATGGAAAAGCTGACACCTAAGCTTAACAAAAGTGTAATCAGGAGCATATATCATGCTAATTAGTGAATATAACAACTGCTGTTTATGACGTATGAATTGGGAATGTATAACCACTGGAGGTGGTATTTTTATCAGGTTTTATCATTTTACACTGAAATTAATCTGATTAGTCATTATGAAATAAATACCATGAAAAAGCAATGGACTGGATATTCTGAAAATCAAATATATTCAACTTATCTTTGTGAAATTGAAGCTTAGTATGACTCATAAGCCAGTTGGAATTAGTTTCTGGGGTCATTTGATTGAAGATTTAAAAGGGAAATGGCATTTGCTGTAGGAACAGAGATTAGTAATCTGGAAGGTGGCATTCTGACTCCAAACCAAACCTTGAGATTTGATTTAAGGGGTCTCTTACTGCTGGAAAAGGTGTTTTCTGTTACCAGCAGAGCACTGAGGTCTTGATCACTAATGATTAAACCCTACACAGAAATGTTTATGAAAGATGCTAATGTTAATACCTGGGCTAAATATAATTTTGGTAATTACAATTAGCTTCTTTACATAAGCATGCTAACTTCATAATATGTTTTTAGTAATTGCAGACTGTAATTTCAGTAATTCCATTTTGATTCCCTGCGGTTCATTTAGATGTATCACTCTTGGTTTTCTGTACCCCAGCCAAATACCACTTATTTCACTTTCACATAAATCACACTGAAATCAGGGCGATTAATTCCAAGTAATGTGACCTGAATTTGACCTCCTATTTAGTGTAAACCCTTAAAAGCAAATTTTCTTTAGTGCTAGGGAAAATAAGTTGTATATAGAGGAGTTAATGTATCTTTAGACTCTGAAAACTTGTATGTTATTAGAAAGCCTAAAATAAATGTTATGAGTAAACTGCTGTACTAGGACTAGTTAGCCACTGCAGCTGATTTATATCAAATTTGTAATATTGCAGGTAGACACTCTAGGATGAAGAGCAATCAGCTTTAAAAATGAATGTTAATGCTCTGCCAGCTTGTGTTAATCCTGAAATTTGTCTTGCAAAGAACATTTGTGTTTTCTAATTGTGTCTATTTACTACCTTCTTCTGCCTCCCAGAGAGGAATACAATTTAAAATTCCCAAGTATTCACTGGTTACTGACCTTTATGTAATGCCTTCTTTTTATATCTAGAGCAGAAGTATGAGAAATGTAGCCTAATGAAACTACCCTGGGAATTTGAGCATCTGTAGGAAATAGTAATTGCCATGGATAAAGAAGTCAAAGAAATGTCTACACACCATGACTTTTAATTTGTTCTTTTTAATCCATTAATACTCATTACTGGGTATAAATCTGTAACTATACCAGAATTTAAGAGCCTGATTCTGCAAATTCTATTTGGGTGATCGTGGAACTGATCTATCATTTGGCTAAAATTAAATCCATCTTGTATATTTGCAAGATCAGGCTTTGGAGTTTGTAGGAAAACATCAGAAAGAGATCCTTGTTCTAATACTCATTGACTTTAGTGGAGCCAGAAATTCACCTATACAATATATTAACTAATTGGCACTTTTTTTTCCAAGAAAAGTAGATAATGTAAGTAGTGTTTTGGTGCATTAGTTTTTTATTTCTATTGTATAATATGCTGTCATTAATTGCTTCCTTTTTCTTGGAATGTATTACTTCAGTATATGTCAGAAGAGTTGACAATGCATCACAGATAAGCTCAGACTGATGAGAACATAATGCCTTGATTTCTTCTTGTCATGTACCAGTAGAAGTGGACAGTACTCATTGGGTGGCTGGATATGTGCATAAATTAGTGTTTGTCTATTAATATAATGTAGCTGATATGTGTGAAACTTTTTTGTGAATTTATGGAACATAATCCTTCCTAGAAAAGTAATTTTTCTTTTGTCAGGCTGCTGCACTAACCCTCACTATATACATGTGTATTATTAGCTTAAAAAACCCCTACATATGCAGTTTAGAGATAGTGATAAATTCCTTATGGGTCTCTGAAATAAGCCCCAGGTATGCAGTAGAGAATGCCAACCATTGCACAGTAATTCTGAAACTATCTGTAAAAATCTCAGTGGAGATGGTGTTCTTTGCTGGGTGCTGTAGGTACCTAGACTTCTTTATCTGAGTCCCATTGGCATTCTGTCCAATTAAAAATATGAAATTATTCTAGATTTTCTTGTCAGGAAAATAGTCTTTCAAGATTTTGCCTCAGCATTTTAATCCTGCCTGGGCTCTAAATTGCTGTTGTCACTACCATGTTATTTTTGTGTTGAAATTGGTTTTCATGCTGAAGCCATGGATTTGATGAGGAGAAAGAAAAAAAGGCACTGGATTACTATCCTTTTTGTTTTAACAACCATTCACAGTATGCTCTTGTGAAATTGAATAAATCTCTTATCTGCTAAAGATAATTAACTAGACAAAACCACAGATACATCAGTCAGCTGCAGTGAAGGCTCGTGCTTGGGCCATTAGGGAAGAGTTGGCTGAGTTCTGTGCTAAATAGAAATTTTTCTCACTAATGTTTGGATTGGAACATCTTGTTGTAGGTCAGGAGAGCTTTGTAAATAAAACCTGCTGAAGTGCTCCAGGTCTCCTGGAAAAACCTCGTTGCTTCAGTAGCCAAACAGGCCCAAATGTTTTGTTGTTTGGTCAGTGCCTGCTGGGGGCTACTGTGGTCCCTGTGGGCTAAGGCTGTGCCATCAGCTGGCCACGGATTCAAAATTTTGGGGTTTTCTGGTTTGCCTTTTATGAAGAAACAAAGAGGGGTTTGCTGCAGGTTGATGGTTGTGTTACATGGAGTACATTTTACTCTTTGTAGGAGCTGCTTCCAGCCCTGTGGGTTGTTTGAATGGCTAACAGAGGAGTTAAATAATCCCTGGGGTCTTGGACATTATCTTCTAGCTCACTGTGGATTTCAGACAAGTAAAACTACACAACTTAATTTTTCTAAGCAAACTACATTGTTTGTCTTGCAGAGGGATAAGGTAAGCATAGTGATTTTGGTGGTGGCTTCACAAAAACTGTTCCATAACTGCTCTCTTAAAACTTTGGTAAGGTATAAAATAATCTGCTTTTAGAGGAGGGCAGTTCTCAAGGGCTAGAAGATGAAAATTCAAAAATACATCTGGCATCTAAAGCCAAATCTTGTCTTACAGATAATATTATTTGTAGAAATCAAATCGGGATCTGTCTTGAGGAATCCTGAAATAAGGGCTTCTAGCTTTCAATATTTGTACAATGCATCACACACTTTCATGGGGGTTTTGTACCACAGAGTAGTGACTAAATAGAGAGCTAGTCTCAAATAACTAAAAACATAAGGAAAGGAATGTTAAAGTATTTTTTTCCCCAGAAATGATTGCAGTATTGTTATAATATGTGTCTGTGAGTGACATTTTATTATCTATTGTTTATAATACATGTTTATGACTGACATTAAGCAGGCAGGTCTTTTTTTCTGAAGTCTTTTAAGGATTTAAAATACATTCTGATTAATGTTTATACTTTGGCTTTTATGGAGCAATTAGAAAGCAAAAAAATTTAATTATGTTATCTGATTTTTGTCTATGTGAAGCTATGTATTTTGATGGAATCCTAGCAATGTCTGTGTTATAAAGAAAAAATAATTTAGGAGGACAGCTGAAACAAAATATTAACTGGGAAGTAGCCTTAATGTAGCGCTTTGCAATGTTAATTTTTTGCTGTGTGAATTTTGCCATTACATAAGTGAAATGAGGAAATTAACAAACAATTTTGTGTCTAAATCAATCTCTCCTGATGAAAATTCACTTAGTTGCAGTGGAATAACTTGTAATGATATTCTAAATCTTCACTAGTAATTTTGGTATAAAGAAGTGCAACACTTCATTCTGAAGCCTACTCTATAATATGCCTATTAAAAGTTTCAGGAAAAAAATATTTTTATTTCTAGATTAAACACAAGTTCCAAGAAATCCTTTGGCATAAAATGCACTGAACGTCAACCAGTGTAATAAAGAAAGGAACTGCATTGAAAACTATGCAAAATTACCTGTGTGAATTGATGTGTGTAATCACTTAACAGTCTTATAGTACATTGTGTCAGTTGGTTATGTTGTAAACTTGAAACCATTGATATCTATATTTATGCTCTTTTTTATTATAAAGAAGTGCACTGTATAGGTAGTGCCATGAGACATAAGTTTGCATCTTGCTTTTCACTTCCTTGCAGCTTAAAAGCAGATGTTTACAATGGAAATGCTTTAAAGTAATTTGCTGTTCTTGAAAACACAAACTTACCTTGTATATTGCATGTTTACAAAAAAAAATATCATACAAATGCTTTTTTAGAGAGAAAAAAAAAATCACAGACTTCAGTCCTTAAAACACTGGGGTTTTTTTCCCTTAGCCATGCAACACCTCAACTGTTGTGTTGCCAAGCAATTGGCTTGCACTCTGCAGGACTCAAACATTTATTTTCTCTTTCTTTCATAGCATCTGCTGAATAAGTAATATAACAGCCATGACTATCAGCATGATACTCCTGATCCAAGTTAAAAACTTACATTTGCTCACATATGAGCAAATACTGTAGGATAAATCAATTATAAGACACTTGTCAACCTGTGTCTCCCTATTCCAAAGAGCTGAAACATAAGGCACAGGGTTTGTGTGCTGACTGGGAAAAAGAGTTACAGTTGGAGTCCATGATAAAAGAGGGCCCTGGACATGCCAGGTTCAGAGTAGTGAGATTTGAACCACGCTGCAGTGGTGTTTGATTACTCTTTCCATGCATGCAAAATGCTTTTAAAGTTTTCAGCACTTCTGTTTATGAATGGTCTGACTTTAAAACTTCGAAAATCCCAAATTACTTTGGTACTTGTTTTCCTTTTGTGTAGCTGTTCCTTGTGATGTTCCTGTCTTACATTCTGGAGCACACAGGGCTGTGTATAAATAACATTAATAGGACTTCAGTCCGCAGCATGTGTTTGTCCAGAGGAACAAAGCACAACTATAGGAATTCAATGCTTTTTATATTTCAGGGTTTATCATTTTTGTTTCATTGCTGTCTG